GCCATTATTTGGACCTGGTCTTGGCCCTGTGACACATAAGGAAGTCCTTCTGTCAGTTGAAAAGAACCAGTGTAATCATAATTTCCTTGCAAAAAAGGTTGTGTTCAACTTTCTCAGACCTCTGTGTTTCTTTTAAATAAAACTCTTAGACTTAAGGCTGTAGAAGAGGGCAGGTAAAATAATTTGAAATCTGTTCATGCAAATGTCTAGGAACTCTGTATGAGCCATAAGAAAAAAATGTCTTTAAAAGCATCTGTCAAAAAAGAAAGTAAAATGTCCAGAAGGAAACATGAAGACAGAATGAAAAATCAGAGAAATAAGCAGAAGAGTTGACCCTCTGGTCACCTAGTTTTGGGAGGTCATGGATCCCAGTGAATTAGGTAAATTAGAGTGGGAATATAGAACTCACAGGGGGACAAAAGACATGGTTATGAGCCTATAGGGAGAAAGGAGTTGTAACTAACATCTATATAAACCAGGATCATGGAGTTGAAGTAGAAAAACTAAAGAAATCCACCCACTGGTGGAGAAAAGCTTTCTTCTGCCTGAGCTCTGGATAAAAAATTTAAAAAAAATCTTTTTTAATGTCTCTAGAAATAAAAAATCCTGGCTCAGAATTTTCATTAACATTGTAGTATAGAAACATCAAGCCAAAAAATTAGCATGAAAATTGTGCCCAAGCCAGAAATGCCCCTGGGATGCCTGACAAAAGCAAATGCAATGCTGGGAAAATAAGTGTTGGAGAAATACTAAGCAAAAGAAAGATAGGATAATTATATTAATGGGGGGGGGAGACTTTAGGGAGAAAAATTGGGATAGAAACAATATAAAGAATAATTGTTCTATATAATCTATATAGAAATCAGGAAGTTGTAGCAATTCCAAACTTGCATACATGTAACTAAGTAGTCTAAAAATATACAAGGAAAAATATACTATTGCCAAGATAAATTGATAAATTAGAGTCAAATGGGAAACTTTAACATGTCTCAATAATTAACAGAGAGAATATGTAGAACAGTTAATAAAGTTATAGCCACACAGTTTTCAAGCTTGATTTACTGGACCTATATATGAAATGCTACATCCCTGTAATAGGAAATACACATTCTTTATATGGAACATACACAAAAATGTTTATTCTCTATTTATCAGATGTAATAGGCTACAGGGTCACAAAACTCACCTAAAATCAAAGTATCAGTAGTATATAGACCTTGCTCTCAGTTCATAATTAAATTAAGCTAGGTATCAATATTAAAACAGTAACTCACACCTTATATTTGAATATTTTAAAAATTCTTTGAACTAATATATTTATTATAGAAATAATTATCATAGAAATTTAAAATGCTAGAATTTGTAAGATAATAACACCATATATCAAAATTAGGGTGCTTCACCACAATAGAAAATCTGTAGCCTTAAAGACATGTATAAAGATTAAAAAGTAATGAGCTAAGCGTTTTAACTTAAAAATTTAGGTTAAAAAACCCCAGAGAATATATTCAGGCAAAATTTAACAAAGATACTAATAAGCATAGAATATAATATTGGAGCAAAAAATAAAGAAAAAAATATTGAGGATCCACAAATCCTAAAACTGGTTTTCTGAAAATTCTAAAAAAATTAGCTAAACTCTGGTAAAACTGATGAAGGGAAACAAAAAAGACAGAAGTAAATTGATCTTAGAAATAGGAAAGGAAACAAAATTATAGTTAAATGACAGTATTTTTTCTGAAGCATTAGAATAAAGCAAACAGCTAAATGCATTTAAAAGAAATAAACATGTAAAAATCTGAATTTACTTATATTCGTTAATAATTTGAAAATATTAAGTGAAATAAAATGAAAATATACATTGAGTGAAAAAGTACTCCTCCCTGCAACACACACGAAAAATACCAGGATGAAATAGTTTTATATACGAACACTAACTCTCCTTTGTAAAATGGATAATGTCTGTGCTACATAAACTCTTACAGAATCAAGGAAAAGAAGCAAAGATCACTAAACATTTATGAGGTTATATAATCCACATATCAAAATAAGACAAGAAAAAATTGAGAAGTATAATTATCAATAAGCCACTTATAAATATATATGCATATATCCTGAAAATATTAGTAACCAAAGACAGAAAATATATCATGACCAAGAAGGGCTTATTCCAGGAATACATGCATTTTTTAACATTGTAAAGTGAAAAGCCTTGCAATTATCTCAAAAGTTGATTCAACATCTGTTTATGCTAAAATCTATTAGCAAAGGAAGAGCAAAAGTGATCTTCCTTATAAAAGGAATTTCCCAGACACCTACAGCAAACTACGTAAAAAACCCACAGTTGTAGAAACATTTTATAGAAGTGAAGAACACAAGGAAAGGACAAAGGAATGCTGCTTTTACTACCTCCATTTCACAGTGCACTGGCAGTCCTATACAAAATGATGAGAGCAGTAGATAAAAGCTTTACAGTTTTAAAAGGAATAAGCAAAACTATTTTTTGGTATATATCTACAGTGAAATTAACAAAAATAAAAACCCTATAGATTAACCATTAAAACCTATAGGAGATTAACAAGAAGGTTTGTTATAAGACTAATATATGAAATTAAATAGCATGCTTATACACAGTAAAATAATTATAAATGCTATATTTTGTTAACATAGCAGGAAAACCTTAAAAATAAATTTAATAATAGTTGTGCAAACCTTTTATAAAGAAAAATATAAAACTTCATAAAAGACATAAAATCAACTGAAATAAATTGAGAGGCATACCATATTCATAGAAAAAATGCATGATTTTCTCAAATGGTTCCATTAATTTAATACAATCCTAATGAAATCCTGAAATGTCTTTCCATGGCACATGACGAACTAATATAAAAGTTTATATGAAAGTAGTGGTCCATAAATCCCCCGACATTGAATAATAATTAAAAGAGACGATGACAATGATGTTGGTGGTGGTGGTGGTAGGGGACCCATTACTTCAGTCATGATAAAGTTATGTTAATTAAAACAGTATGACACTGGTTAAAATGAAATGCAGTAACAAGGATAACAGCTTCATTAATGCTTCACAGAGAAAAAGAGATCCAATGAGAATTAGTACATGTGTGTGCAAATGGAAATATAAATTGTAAGGCACTATATTAATATAAGATAATATTTCAAGGAGTTTACCTTACATTTGTACATATTATAAGGTTTTCTCATTGCTGAATTTGAAAAAAAAATTAATATTGAATCTTAGATACAGCTGAAGAATCTTCTCTGGTTTTCTAACTCAAAAATAAGATGAAAATATTAAAAACAACAACTATAAGTTCATGACTGCCTCATCTAAAGTTCATTTATCTGGACAATTTGGAACAAACCTAGAACAGGGGATTAATGACTAAAAACAAACATATGATTTCAAGTGTATCACATTCTGGAAAAGGCAAAACTGTAGAGACATTTCAAAGATCAGTGGTTGCCACGGGCTCAAGAGGAAAGGAGAGAGGAAAGTATAAGCAGGTATAGCACAGGAAATTTTTAGGGCAATGAAACTATTCTATATGATACTATAATTGTGGATACATGCCATTATGCTTAGGTCAAAACCCATAGAGTGTACAATACAAAGAGTGACCCTTAATATAAATTATGGACTTAATGTATTAATATTGTCTCATTAATGGTAACAGATATTGATCATGCTAATGTAAGATATTAATAATAGGGGCAGGGGAGAGAGGGTATTTGGGAACTCTGTGTTTTCTGCTCAGTTTTTCTGTATTTTGAAACTGCTCTAAAAAACCTCACAAAGTATAGTACTTAAAAAATATTGAACAGAAATGCATAGCACGTAAATTAGAACTGCAATACTCAGATTACAATATTCACAATACACAATAAGCAGATTTCCTTTTCTCCTATATGAGGCACTCAGGTGTTCTCTTGAGGTCTCTTTATTCTTGTTTAGTTATAATTTTTTCAGTGTACTGACTTTCTATTTAAATTGTTAGTAGGGCACATTCAAAGAAAGAAGCAACTTATTTATCATAACAGTTTTCATATAGCAGTAAGAAGTGACATTTGAAGGCCCATCAGTATAGCATGTCTACTTTGCATTGCTTGCTTTCTAATTGCCACCCTCTCCCCAACAGTACCACTTGGCTGCCCTTGGACCTCTCCTAGAGAAACCACCTTCCCACCCCCACCCCCAGCCCCCAGACTTCCCAAGATCCATCAAATACAGGATTAACACATGTCATCACCAAAGACCTTCAAAGACCACTTCAGGGCTGTGACTGAAGTCCTTTCTGATTGGTGTCTTTGCCTTATTTGTTGTCAAAATTTTTGAATATCGAGCATGAATAGAAGAACTCAAAGAGGCAGGGCAGGTGGCAGAGATTTAGTAGAGAGGTGAGAAACCTACAAACACAGGTAGAAATGAAAACCCCAAGATTTGAAAATAAGTGTAGCTTTAAGAATCTGTATTCTTTTAATTTGTGTAATGCTTTATAGTTTTCAATGTGATAATGTAATAATGAATCATACAAAAAAAGTTAAATCATCTTCACATGCTATTTTTCTGAAGCTAGACAAGTACTTAAAATTCTTTGAAAATATTTTTATCTGATTTTTTTCATTTTTAAAAATATGAGTTGTCCACATCTCCTTGAGGTCTTGTTGTGTGTGCTTTCCTGTTGAACGCCACTGCAGTTTTTAATGTGAAATTTAGAATTGCCTATTTATGGTTCTGAAGTTCTATGAGGCTAGCAATTGTATCTTAGTCATCATTATATAACAAGCACCTAAAATAATGTCTACACAAAGTTTCAAATACATATTTGCCGAAAAATGTAACGTTGGTTATCTAGAAAAATTCAGTTGTTTGGAATTATTTGTCTGATCATATTGGATAAATAAATTTGAATGCTTTAAGAAAAAAAAACCCAGCAGAATATAGAGAAATAAGTATCTTTTAATTTTCTTTTCCCCCCCAGAGGAAAGAATTGTCAGCATGCAAATTCAGACAGTCACAAAATTTGAAACAGTTACTAATGTTGTTGGATATTTAAAGGGCTCGAGATCTCCAGGTAAGTAGACCCAAATATTTATAATCTACACTTTATATGAAATATCACAAGAAAATGCTCTGTATCAATTTAATAGCATAGTTAAATGTCCTACTTTAGATGTAATTACAAGTTTATACCACTCTAAACGGTGGTATATAAAACCAAGAAGCAAGTCTTTATTCTTTCTTACCACATCCCTTCAAAGATAAATCATAGTAGAGAGTGTAAGAGGGAAACAAAACAAAACGGAGAAAACAGAGTTTAGATTTGTTAAATTGGCATGTACCTGTGAGTAAAAGCTATAGAAACCAATGTTTTCTTTTTCTTTTATTCACTGTAACACCATTGAAGATTTTATTTATATCAAGAAAAGACTTTTTTAAAAAGGAAATATTTTAGTTTTAATTATGTGTTTTTAAAAAAAATAAAAATTTTGGTTTTCAAATCTTTCATTGTTAGTCTGTGTCCCATCTCTGACCCTTGGTCCACTGACAATTCTGCCTGATGTTTGCATGGCTTAGGTTTTGAAGGTGCTTATGAAAAGGATCACCTGGTTACATTTTAAATAGTTTTATACCTTGTTATGGGATGCTTATGGAATCTTCAGATGATACTATATAGGCTAAAAAAGTGAAAATAACTGACAAATATATTAACAAATTAACAACACTTCTGAACATATTGTGAGGTTGAATGACATATTACTGTCTGCTGTGCTTGTTTTACATGGTAGAACGCAGTAGTCTTTTAGTACATTTGTGTCATTGCTATTGATTTGGTTGGGATATTTACTGAAGTCATCCTTGGAGCATAATTCTTCTCCATGATCTTAGTCAAACTGACTCCATAATTGCTAACCCAGGAAATTCTGAGATCAAGTTTTACATTCCCATCAAGTTTCCTGCCTGCCAACTCTTTAAAAATTCACGGACATCTTCTCTCTGGTTTCCTTACAGTAGCAACCTCTGATGAACAACCTCTGATCATAATATCTTTAAATACAAGATATAAATGAATTTGGAAATTGTTACTATTGCATTTCAACCATTTCAACAAATTTATATCATAAGGATCTCTAATTGAAGCATTAGAAATATTTATCATCATTGCTACATTCGCTAGTTATTTTTGGAAAACCAAACTGTACAAAATTATACTCACTATAGGATAAAAAAAAAAAAAACTTATTGAATTCAATGTAGAAAAAAAAACCCAAATTTAAAAAATCAATTTACTAGTAGTATTCCTAGGTGTATAATATGTAAAGCTTCTCAATTTTATTTATTTGAATTCTACACAAAAATATTGGCTGTTCATTCACATACTTTTCTTATTTAATGACTCTGAAAATTAGAAATAACCATCAGTTAGTATTAAGGTTTTTATATATGGTTTATCCAGAATACAGACAATTCCAAACAGAATTTTTATACATATCTGGGAGATGAGTGAATCAATTCAACATTGCAGGCACACTGTGTATACCATTAATTAAGTTTTGATAAATTGTTGACAGATCAAATTCATTGTTGGTTCCAATATCAGTGTGGAAAACTAAAATAATTTCACACAGTTATGTTTCCAGTAAAGTAGTGTTTTGATGCCATGAAGTCAAGGTGTGATTCATTCATTCCATACATGTGTAGTACTTATTATATGTCAGATGTTATTCAAAGTGCCTTACAAATAGTAACTAACTTAAAACTCAAAAAAACTGAATGATGTATGTACTATTTTTATTCCCATTTTATGGTTGAAGAATTTAAGGCATGAGAGCCTAAATAAGCTTTCTAAGGTCATACAACTAGTAAGATGAATGGCCTGGATTCAAACCCAAGCAGAAAGGCTTTAAACTCTGTACACTTAACCATCAAGTTATGGGACATCTCCTAAGGAAATGACACTTAATGAAGAAAAATATTTTTACACAGATTTTAGGGCTACTTGATAAAGTAAATTTAGCTGTGTACCAACAACATTCACTGGCAAAATCAGAGGAAACTCTGGAGGTACATTTTTAGTCTACCTTATTACTAACAATTGTCAGCAATATACATTATTCAGAAGCCATCAATGTGTCATGGAGATCTTTCTAGTAGTGTATCTAATGGATTTTGTATGATGATGTGAAATAAAATATGCAAAAAAGAAAAAGTATTTGGATGACTTTTGATGATGATTTATTTTTTCCATCAGAAAAAGGAGAGGGTCTAAAACTCTAAGTTGGAAGTGAAAACTGATTCCCTAAATACTTCATTTATTGCAAAGTCCATACATGACTACCACATTTTTAATACTTACAGCTACTGAATAACTGTTCCCTCAAATGTATGAATAGTTCATTAATACTTACTGAGCATATACACATTGTTTATAGGGCACTTCCCACTATGATTCTGGCAAAATGTTAGATAAGGGTTTCATTGTGGCATATTTGTATACTTCATTAATTAATATGCATCTTGAGAAGACAGTAATATGGATCTAAGCTTTGGATTCATAATTGAGTTCAGCAGCTGCCTCTGCTTTGATATACACACGTGTGAGTCAAGGCAGTGGGGGAAAAATGTTAGTTTTAATTATCAGAACAATTTTGCATAATTATTGCTCGGTTGTGCAATAGGATCATGTAAATGTCATTAAATTTATTGTTAAGATGTATATTGTATTATAATGGCTCTTGTTGTCTTCTATTTGCAGACCGTTATATCATAGTTGGCAGCCATCATCATACCGCATACAGTTATAATGGACAAGAATGGGCCAGCAGCACTGCCGTCATCACAGCTTTTATCCAGGCCTTGATGTCAAGAGTCAAGAGAGGGTGGAGACCAGACCGCACTATTGTTTTCTGTTCATGGGGTGGAACAGCTTTTGGAAATATTGGCTCCTATGAATGGGGAGAGGTAAACGTGCATAAATTACTATGCCTTGCTCTCAAAATTGCGCAGTCACTCTCTCGCTCTCACTCTCGCTCTTGCTCTGGACTAAAGTAGACAAAGTCAAATTGATAAAGCCATAAACAAGAATGTGCGTCTCAACCAGGGTGTGCAGTATGCTCATTTGCTGAGATCACTTCTAAGAATGCTAGGGAATTAGAGTTAGACCACAGTGATTTGTGTATGATCTACAGGTATCTTCTTATTGCTACCAGACCTACACACTGTTACACCCACAGTGGTGTTTACCTGGTTATTGTGTTTCTTCTTAGGTTGACAGGCACTGGACAAGAAAGGGTCAAGTGATACATACCATTACCTTTTTTTTTTTTTAATTTTCTAGCAATTTTCTGGAATTAGGAAACAATCTTGTATGTAAAATGTTTATTAACTTAGCATTATACCTTACCTAAACAATATAGGGATTGGACTCAAAATAGCAGTTTCCTTCCTTCTACCCTTGTTTTCTCCCTCCCTTCAATCCTTCCTCCCTCTATTCTTACACCCCTACCTCCCTGCTCCTTCTTTTCTACCTATATCTCTACCTATCCACTTATCTAACTACCTTAGGAAGCCTTTGTTCAAATGAAATCTTGTGTGCAATGGATCACAGTTAGAATACAACTGGAGTACATTTTCAAATATTTCTGATATGTTTGTGTCTCACAAATGCACTGTGTTTTTAATGGGATATGACAACTTTGGATTGATGCCACATTAACAACAATAAAAACATCATAAAACTCTTAGATATTCTATTTATTTTATGACTTTATAAAAAGAAGTTTAATGGAAATATGTAGGAAAAAAACCTACACAACTTTAGCTAGGAAAATAAAACCATTTGATATCCTAGTTTGTATACTGCTTCAGCTTTGCAGAAAAAAATATCAAATATATAATGAGAAATTCTCATTTCATTTAATCACTCAAAAAAAAGGTAAAATGTCTATTGGCTATCAAGAAAAATCAAAAAAGGTATACAAAAGAAAATAGCAAAGATCTTTTTATTTTGAGAGAAAGAAGTCTTCAAAATGAGAAAAATTTTACAGTTGTAAAATTTATCAAGATTCACACATTGCAAATTGAAATGCTTTTCTGTATTCAAATTAGTGGTGTGAATTTTTTCCCATTACTCAAAAGAACTAGTTCAAATAAAGAAATTCCATTGCTGACAAAACATTTTAAAATTGACAGATTTTTAGTAAGATGGAAAATGTAATAGCTGAACCAATCTCTCAAACTTCTATTCCAAATTCCATACTTTAAGGATATAAACAATTTAAGAAACAATCTGGGGAGTGTATTTGTGATCTGGGATGATTTTACTAATTCAGAATTTTTTATCATAAAGAAAACAATGTTTTAGTTTTCTTGTAACAATAAGGCACATTTAAAAAAAATGTCTTTAAGATTCTTTCCAAAAATTTATTCTACTATCTCATACAGCCTTCTCCATATCTATCTAATAAATTTCATAGTCAACTCATGTTAATTCTAAATTAGCATGTGTATTTCTAAGCTGTGTTCTCAAAGTAGGCTTGTGTAACATTAATAGTTCCTAACTTAAATTCCTAAATATCCTTAACCCCTCTGCATGGGAAAGTGAAGTGTACTGCAAATAGTCCTTGAATTTATTTGAGCATCATGCATGGTAACCTGCAGTTTGTTCAGTATTGTGGCCTTGTGTGTATGTGAACAATTACATTTTCAAATTAAGTAAATATTTTTGTAGTTAATAAAATATTTTGATTATTGACTGCGTTGTACCTTTTGGTAATTTTATAGTTTCTCAATCAACAGATACTAAAAATACAACTACTGTACTGTGGGGAGTCTATAGGAAAAAATGTTTATGGTAGAAAAGTCTCTTCCTATTCAAAAAGGTTAGGGACCTCTGTCTTAGAGTATTTATTATATGTATGTATGCATATTTGACAACTAATTATACATCCAGTCACTTTCTGGCTTTTTCCTTGACTAGGTGAGCAAAAATATATAAGCAAAGAAAATGGTGAATAATATATGGATTTGATTATTAGCTTATAAAATGTACTATTGTAAATTGCTGTATCTTAGATTATTTCAATACAGTTCATGAAGCCTTTTTGTAACAATCTGGTTGAGGAGGAATTTAGAAAACTATTAGTTTTACTGTTCTGTCTACTCTTATCAAACCTACTCCTTCTGAAAATGAAAGATTTTCTTTTAGAAGAAAGCAATTTGTGTGCTAAATATATTCCCTAACGAAGATGAGTAAGGAAAGCACTTGTTGACAGGTCATAATGCCCTTTCTAATTTTGCTTACACAGGAACCCCTTGAAACTCAGAGTTGTAATTAAAAAGATTAGGTTATACTGGTCAAATGGAATTTATAGTGATAAAGTTATTAGAGATTTGACTCAATACTGATTTCAATCCTTGAGGAAAATTATAACATTTTACTAAATAGGTTCTTTAAAAAGTACCATTTCTCCTGTGAAGAATCTTCATCTTCAGGCTATTGTGGAAATACTATAGACTTTGCAGTCAAAGAAATCTGAGTTCAAATCCTCTCTACCATAAAACAAGTGGTCTTAGGCAAGATTAACTTCTCAAGACTTGATTGTTCCAATGAGTACACTAATGCCTAGGTTGTGAGGTTCTCATGAGAGTTAAGTGGACTGACATATAGACATTGTCAGTATGGTAGTATTTAATTAGAATCTGTTTTTCTATAGCTCTTGTGTAATAATGGACATTTTTAATAACAATATTACGTGTAAACCACAGTTCATCATTTCTATTTATTTAAAATATTTATTTTTAAATAAACTGTCTTTTCACTTCTTTTACAGAGGTATAGCTGAATTTTCAACATGAACTAGGAATAATATTATTGATTTGCTAGGTGTACTAGTCCTTGCAGACTTTCATCTGATAGTGTTGGAAGAAGAAAGATATGTTTCTAAGATACAAAATAATATAATACAATTTTTAGAATATATCTATAGAACTGCCATCATGATAATTACTCATTACATATTTGCACAAGAAAAGGAAGCAAATAACAGAAGGACTTCTTAGTGGTACATTATTAATAGGATCAGTGGTCTTCAATTTTTGGAAGTAGGGTTTAGCAGAAAAGTGGAAAACTATTATACTGAATTATTTTATTCTACTAATGTGGATGAAATGCATCAGGTTTTACTTCAAGTAATATGTGCAAGGCCACAATTGTATTATGCCTTATTTTGCTCAGAATAAAAAGCTGCTTTGTGCAAAAAGTAGCTCAACACTTCAAAGGAAAGGGCTGGTTTTATTAAACACTGAAGTGATTTATCCATGTCTGTTCTCTAATTCAATGACTGTAAAATTAAATGCTGTCACTAGAGCAAATATTCCATCCTGTAGTCTGAAGTTGAATCTCATACTATATTAACCATATAGGGACATTTTCTCTTAAATTTTTACCTTTTCTAGGAACATGAACATGCTTTAAAATATTTTGTTGTATGTTATATGAAACTCATCACCACCCTTATTTAAAACCCCTTTATGACCCTTGGGTACTCTAGTAAATAGTATGGGATGGCTTTACATTAAAAAAAAGAGAGTATTATGCAATGTAATGATTTTAGGTAGGAAGTGTTTATTATTCAACATGTAACAGGTAAAGTGGAATCTGTTACTTTTATTTCTGTTAAAGATAGATTTTTTTTTTTTAATGTCAGGATTTCAAGAAGGTTCTGCAGAAGAATGTTGTGGCTTATGTTAGTCTCCACAGTCCTGTAAGCGGTAACTCAAGTCTCTACTCTGTAGCTTCACCATCTCTTCAGCAACTGGTAGCTGAGGTAAGATGAACCACTTTTGAATAAAATGATTTTGCAAAACTGCCTTTTTCTCTATAATCTGGCATTTCTTGATATTTTCATTTTTTTTTAATATGCATAAAACCATCCCTAAGTGTTTTTTTGGTTTTTTTATATATTTATTTATTTTTGGCTGCTTTGGGTGTTTGTTGCTACGTGTGGGCTTTCTCTAGTTGCTGCGGGCTTTCTCTAGTTGCAGCAAGCAGGGGCTACTTTTCGTTGCTGCATGCGGGCTTCTCATTTTGGTGGCTTCTCTTTGTTGCGGATCGTGGGCTCTAGGCGCATGGACTTCAGTAGTTGTGGCATGTGGGCTCAGTAGTTGTGGCTCGCAGACCTTAGAGCTCAGGCTCAGTAGTTGTGGTGCACGGACTTCAGTAGTTGTGGCATATGGGCTCAATAGTTGTGGCTCGCAGACCTTAGAGCGCAGGCTCAGTAGTTGTGGCACACGGGCTTAGTTATTCCTCAGCATGTGGGATCTTCCCAGACCAGGGCTTGACCCCATGTCCCCTGCATTGGCAGGTGTATTCTTAACCACTGCACCGCCAAGAAAGTCCCCCTAAGTGTTTTAAGGAATGATCTATTGCTGATTTTTTTTTATCATTGTCCCTTCAACCAATGTCCTATGTTCTGAAGTTCTTTACTTTCTACTCTCTTATGGTTATAGTTGCAGGCATGCATCTATAGAGAATGTGTGTAAAATTGTAAATTTATTTCTTAAAAATTGAATTTAGTGTTTAAGTTCCCAATTCTGCCAATTTTGGCATGTTGTGGTAAACTTGGTTACTTTGGGATTTCTTCTCCTTCATTCATGTTTTGAGTAAATGTGGAACCTGTTCTGTCTTTTCAACTACACTGTAAGCCTCCTCATAGCAGGACCTGTGTCTAATTCCTAGAATATTGTGAGAAGTAAATTCAAGAAACTTGGAAAATATTGTTTGCAGAACATTTATGGAAAAGGAAAGCATATTTTTTTCTACAAAGTAACAAAAAAATTATGCAGTTTGTGATAATGTCTTGCTAGAGTTATCTATTTTTTAAATTTAGTTACTCCTCACCTGTTTCAAAGAAATTTTCAGAACATCTTTCCTATTTATTGTTAGAGTTCACACTTTTGTTTCTGCATTCTTTTTATGACTTTCACTAAAATGATATGTATTATATCTCAGAATGAAAGCAATCATGCCACGACTGCAGGGTGGTTTTCTCCCAACCCCAAGGGCTACTGGTGTATATTAGAAAATGACCTTTTAGATACCCACAGAGTGTCCAGTATCACAGACACTGAACTAGAAAAAGAGAAGGATAATGAATGGTGCTTTGGATTAGCCATAATTCTTGATTGAAATGTAATGCAAACTAACATTTTATGACTTTCATAATGTATTTACTAGTTTAATAATTTTCACTGACATTTCCATATGTAGTATAATAAAGAAGACATTATGAAAGATGAAATAGATAAATCTGTACATTTAAGATCAGTCAAACCCCAGTGTGCATGCGTGTAATCCAGAACTGTAAGTGAGTCTCTCCTTCTCTTTGTACTGCTTTGAAATCTCTGACTTTCTTACATGTCTGGAAAAAATGTCAAAAGAGAAAAGTCAGCTGCCGTTGTCTCCCTTGGGAAGTTAAGATATTCCTGAATAGGTTATCAGGAAGAAAGAAGTATGAGCTCAAGTATCCAGAAACTAGTGAGAGTTTAAAAATGATTTTGCCCTTACAGTTTTGTCTTTCAGAATATCATAAAAAATGGAATCACACAGTATGTAGCCATTTGTGTGTGGTTTATTTTACTTAGCATAATGACTTTTAAGATTTACCCATGTTCTTACATGGGTCAGAAGTTTACAGCATCTTCTAGACAACTAAGGAAACAGTCAGTAATAACTAGATGAGTGTAATATCTTTGGAGCTCTCCCTCTGGTTTGATATTCTAACTTTGGTTTTGAAATGAAGAGAAATTAAACTATTCACATAAGAAAATAAGCCATTTCCCTGAGGTTAGTCCACTAAATTTGAACTAAATCATCCTGAGTGAAAAAGATGGAATCTTTTGAAGATTGAGAAATGTTTAATTAATCTAAATCCACTGCAGTGGATTATAGGTTTTTCTTGGGATTCATGAAAGCTCCACTTTCAAAAAAATTTCCTGAAGAACATTGAAAAGGTGATGGTTACCAAAGATGGGTAATAGGAACATGAGAGTTCATTGTACTGCTCTCTCTTCTTTTGGGTTTATTTGGAAATTTTCATTATAGCTTGAAAAAAGAATCTCAAAAATACTTAAATTTTATAAGTTACAACACTAATAAATTAGTTTGTTTTCTGAAAGTAGCAATAATCTACCAGTGACTTACACACTGAATTGTAATAGGGGGCAATAACGAAGGCTTTTATTTTTATTTATTTATTTTTTTAACATCTTTATTGGAGTATAATTGCTTTACAATGGTGTATTAGTTTCTTCTGTATAAGAAAGTGAATCAGCTATACTCACACATATATCCCCATATCCCCTCTCTCTTGCGTCTCCCTCCCACCCTCCCTACCCCACCCCTCTAGGTAGTCACAAAGCACTGAGCTGATCTTCCTGTGCTATGTGGCTGGACCCCACTAGCTATCTGTTTTACATTTGGTGATGTATATATGTCCATGCCACTCTCTCACTTCATCCCATCTTACCCTTCCTCCTCCCCATGTCCTCAAGTCCATTCTCTACATCTGCATCTTTATTCCTGTCCTGCCCCTGGATTCTTCAGAACATTTTTTTTTTTTAGATTCCATATATATGTGTTAGCATACAGTATTTGCTTTTCATTTTCTGACTTACTTCACTCTGTATGATAGATTTAGGTCCATCCACCTTACTACAAATAATTCAGTTTTGTTTCTTTTTATGGCTGAGTAATATTCCACTGTATCTGTGTGCCACATCTGCTTTATCCATTCATCAGTCGATGGACACTTAGGTTGCTTCCATGTCCTGGCTATTGTAAATAGTGCTGCAATAAACATTGTGGTACATGACTCTTTTTGAATTATGATTTTCTCCGGGTATATGCCCAGTAGTGGGAAGGCTGGGTCATGTGGTAATTCTATTTTTAGTTCTTTAAGGAACCTCCATACTGTTCTCCATAGTGGATGTATCAATTTACCTTCCCACCAGCAGTGCAAGAGGGTTCCCTTTTCTCCACACCCTGTCCAGCATTTATTGTCTGTAGAGTTTTTGATGATGGCCATTCTGACCAGCGTGAGGTGATATATCATTGTAGTTTTGATTTGCATTTCTCTAATGATTAGTGATGTTGAGCATCCTTTCATGTGTTTGATGGCAATCTGTATACCTTCTTTGGAGAAATGTCTATTTAGGTCTTCTGCCCATTTTTGGATTGGGTTGTTTGTTTTTTTGATATTGAGCTGCATGAGCTGCTTCTAATTTTGGATATTAATCCTTTGTCAGTGGTTTCATTTGTAAATATTTTCTCCCATTCTGAAGGTTGTCTTTTTGTCTTATTTATTGTTTCCTTGGCTATGCAAAAGCTTTTAAGTTTCATTAGGTCCCATTTGTTTATTTTTCTTTTAATTTCCGTTTCTCTAGGAGGTGGGTCAAAAAGGATCTTGCTGTGATTTATGTCATAGAGTGTCCTGCCTATGTTTTCCTCTAAGAGTTTGATAGTTTCTGGCCTTACATTTAGGTCTTTAATCCATTTTAAGTTTATTTTTGTGTATGGTGTTAGGGAGTGTTCTAATTTCATTCTTTTACATGTAGCTGTCCAGTTTACCCAGCACCACATATTGAGAGGCTGTCTTTTCTCCATTGTATATTCTTGCCTCCTTTATGAAAGATAAGGTGACCATAGGTGCGTGGGTTTATCTCTGGGCTTTCTATCCTGTTCCATTGATCTATATTTCTGTTTTTGTGCCAGTACCATATTTTCTCGATTACTGTAGCTTTGTAGTATAGTCTGAAGTCAGGGAGCCTGATTCCTCCACTTCCGTTTTTCTTTCTCAAAATTTCTTTGGCTATTCAGGGTCTTTTGTGTTTCCATACAAACTGTGAAATTTTTTGTTCTAGTTCTGTGAAAAATGCCATTGCTAGCTTGATAGGGATTGCACTGAATCTATAGATTGCTTTGGGTAGTATAGTCATTTTCACAATGTTGATTCTTCTAATCCAAGGACATGGTATATCTCTCCATCTGTTTGTATCATCTTTAATTTCCTTTATCAGTGTTTTATAGTTTTGTGCATACAGGTCTTTTGTCTCCTTGGGTCGGTTTACTCCTAGGTATTTTATTCTTTTTGTTGCAATGGTAAATGTGAGTGTTTCCTTAATTTCTCTTTCAGATTTTTCATCGTTAGTGCATAGGAGTGCAAGAGATTTCTGTGCATTGATTTTGTATCCTGCTACTTTACCAAATTCATTGATTAGGTCTAGTAGTTTTCTGGTGGCTACTTTAGGATTCTTTATGTACAGTATCATGTCATCTGCAAACAGTGACAGTTTTACTTCTTCTTTTCTGATGTGGATTCCTTTTATTTCTTTTTCTTCTCTGATTGCTGTGGCTAAAACTTCCAAAACTATGTTGAATAATAGTGGTGAGAGTGGGCAACTTTGTCTTCTTCCTGATCTCAGTGGAAATGATTTCAGTTTTTCACCATTGAGAACGATGTTGGCTGTGCGTTTGTCATATATGGCCTTTATTATGTTGAGATAAGTTCCCTCTATGCCTTCTTTTGGAGGGTTTTTATCACAAATTGGTGTTGAATTTTGATGAGAACTTTTTCTGCATCTATGGAGATTATCATATGGTTTTTCTCCTTCAATTTTTTAATATGGTTTTTCCATTGATTGATTTGTGTATATTGAAGAATCCTTGTAGGCCTAGGATAAACCCCACTTGATCATGGTGTATGATCCTTTTATTAGGCTGTTGGATTCTGTTTGCTAGTATTTTATTGAGGATTTTTGCACCTATGTT